CTCTGGATTCAGCAAAGACAGTTGGCGACTTACAGCCAACGACCAGCATGAGGGGGTCAGCGGGTGGAAACTTACTAAGAGGTGGCATCAAGGGTGAGATTCTAACTAAACCAACTCAACAGGATTCCTGCTGAAGGCAGGCGAGGGTGAGCAGATACCAAGGTGGGGGGATTCTCACTACACGGACATAGGGTTCTTGTTAACACTGGGCTCAAGACCAGGGCCAAGGACTAGGCCTAATCAAAAGCTGGGCTCAGAGGAGTCTGTGTGAAGTTCGTTCAAGGAGAGTCATTGTCACATGTTATGGGACATGTGGAAGGCTCACCTTTTTGCAGGTGAGGACACAGAGGCTCAGAGAGGTAGTCCTTTGCTCGAGGTCTGCCTCAGTTCCCTCGTCCCCAGGAGGCTCAGCCCCACAGCTGCTGCTACATCTGCCCGTAGCCCACAGCGGTGGGTAAACGGACCTGGGCTCCAGCCCCTGTGTTGCCACTGACTCCGTGCAGTGTGACCTGGGCCTTTCAATATGACCCAGGAACAAAGCCAGGAGAGTCCTCTGGCCAAGCCAGGGAACTCAGGGGAGCTGGGTGGTCCAGGCCTGGGCTGGGCAAGGCAATAATTAGCTGAGAGCTCCTCTGGAATGTTAAGTACTTAGCCCTGGAATGCAGCTCCTGCTGCTGCAAATAACCCCCATCATCAGACAGGCCCTGCAGTAAAGATAAATATCAGGGTGGGCAGGCACTGGGGACCCTGTCTTGGGAGCTCCCCCATAAAGCAGCACGTTTTTCTGGCCTCTCTCAGGATCTCCCCCCATTTAGAACTCTTTGCTTGGAACTAGGCTTTGCAGGTGTGGTGGGGAGCCTCTAAGATGACCCACATTATCCCTACCTTCTGGTATTAATGCCCCTGTGTAACCCCCTCTCCTTCAGAACGGGCCAGACTTAACGACCGCTGTTAACAGATGGAATACAGCACAAATGATGGAATGCCATTTCTGAAATCAGGTTACAAAAAACCGTGGACTTCATCGTGGGGACCCTTCTGCTCTCTCTGCGTGAAGCCAAGCTGCCATGTTGTGAGCTGTTCGGTGGAGAGGCCATGTGGCAGGGAGCTGAGGGAGGCCTCTGGCCAGCAGCCAGAGAGGCCAGGAAGGCTAGTGAAGTGCTGAGGATTCTGGGAGGCTGCTGCACCTTTCCACTGAGGTCTGTGGTCCAGCACCCAGGAGGCACTGAATTCTGCCAACAAGCATGCGAGTGAGCATGGACACAGATGCATCCCCAGCTGAGTTGAAGGGTAAGCAGTCTCCACGTCTAGGTGGGAACTGGGCCTAACAGATTTTTGGGGCTTGGGCCCAGGCAGAAAGATGGGTGACAGAAACAACTTCACAGAGCTCTCACCAGGCCCAGATTCAGCTGTGAGGCTAGTCTAAATGTGCACTGAGAGCTCTCATCCTTCTCGGACTACAGAGAGGCCATGAAAGGGCAGGACTGCTCAGACCTCATCCCAGGTCGGGACACTCAAGGGACTCTGATGTGATCCCACTTTCCACATTCCTGTCACCAGAATCCTTTGGAGTGAGTGCCTCTCCCTCCAAAGAAAGCACAATTTCCTGTTTCAAGGCCTAGGACCTCCTAGCTGTCGGAGCCCGGGAGGCGCATCTCCTTCTCCCAGGGCAACCTCACCAGTTTCCACCTAACAACTCAGAGGCCCAGAGAGGGGGCCTGACTTGCCCAAGGTCCCAGAGCCTGGGATTGACAAGTCAGGGTTAGGACCAGGGTTTTCCGACCCTCAGCCCAGCGTGCAGGGCTCTAGGCCAGGACTTCTTAAACGGCAGCTTGTGTCAGAACCATCCAGAGGGCTTGTGAAAACCCAGGTAGCTAGGCAGTGCCCTCAGAGTTTCTGATTCTGTAGGCCTGGGTGGGCCTGGGAATGGGCATTCCTGATATTTCCAGGTGGTGCTGATGTGGCTGGGGGAGGCCCACACTTTGAGAATCAGTGCTCTAGACCGTCTCCCAAGTCGCTCTCCTGATGGTCCTCAAAGCATGGACGGATGGCAGCCTGCAGTGTCCCCAAGTGCCTGTGTAGGCACGGTCTCCTTTGAGGGAGTGGGGTGTGGTTGAAAGAACCATGAAGGGCAGTGCCCTGTCTTGTTCATCTTTGCAACTATTTGCCCAGCAGCTCCCATATTTGCTGACCCATAAAACCCACAAATATAAATGACACACCTCAATTTTATAAGGAAACGCTTTTGAAAAAAATTTAATTTCTTTTTTATCATAACCATTCTGAAAGTGCATTATTTTGTCCAGGAGAATTGAGTGTTCTGTGTAGGAAGTGACATGATGGTCTCTGCTATAATGTTTTCTGTTTCCAGACCTCACCACTAGGATCTGGTTCCATCGATCATTGTATTTCACTTTTTTGGCACTGAAGCTTCTAGCCTTAAAGCTGATGCTTGAACTACCGGGTGGTTGGTGATCTATTGATATAGGCATAGATTCATCTGTGGACGTGGATTCGGGTACAGGTATAGCTGCAGATACAGATATCGACAACGATGTAGAAATGGTGCTTCCTAAGGAGAATTAATATGGTCCCTCCCCTTCCTTTCCTCTGCCCAGAAGGTGGATGTGGAGGAGAGCCAACTTGGACATATAAAGATGGCAGAGCAGCAGGTGGAAGGGGCCTGGATGCCTGGACAGCCTCGTGGAGGGGGATCACTGTCCCAGTCCTGAGCGATCTCCCTGGGTCGTCAGAGGAGAGCGAAGTAAACTCTGACCAATGCATGACACGCTCGTCTCCAGCAGACAACAGGCTCCTTGAGGTAGGGACAGGGCCTCCTTCTTTCTCACTACAGTTCCCCAAACAGAGCCTAGCAGGGTTCAGTCTGGTTCTGCCCCTTACTGACAGGTGACCTGGGGCAGATAACCTCCCTGGCCCTTTCCTCTTCTGTAAAATGGGACTGTGAAACGTTCTCACTAGACTGTCGCCAAGCTTAGAGAGATGTACGTAGAACACTTAGCCCTGTGCTGGCACATAATGGGAGCTTTAAACCATTACTCCCTCCTTCCCTGAAAATAAAGTCTGAACTCCCTACCAGGACCCATAAGATCCTTTTTTATTTTATTTTTTAAAAATACATTTTTGTTGATTTCCGAGAGAGGGAGGGAGAGAGAGAGATAGAAACATCAATAATGAGAGAGAATCATTGACTGGCTGCCTCCTGCACACCCCCTACTGGAGATTGCGCCCGCAACCCACAACCTGGGCATGTGCCCTGACCAGAATCCAACAGTGCGTAGGTCAATGCTCAACCACTGAGCCACACCGGCCAGGTCGTAAGATCCTGTATGTTCCAATCCTGCTCACCTCCCTAGTCTTAGAGCTCATACTTTGAGCAACACGGCCAGATAGAGTGGCTCCAGTTTCCCATCTTTCCCAGGGAGCTGCCTAAGGTCAGAGTGAAAGGTGAGGAAGGTGCTAAGTCCACTGGCCCTTGAAAGTCCCTTAAGCTGCCCGTAGGTACAGTCTCCAGACCTGGACCCTCTCAGCGAGCCCAGTGTGGAAACAGGAGGCTACGTCTCCAGTGGAGCACCAGATAAAGTAGCTGCCTTGTGTTTAGGGGCCTCCTGGGATCAAAAACATGTCTTTAATCAGTGGAGTCATAGTCAGATTAAACGTTCATGTGCTGCTTCTCTCCGCACTCAGTTCTTGTAGGTATTCCGTGCTGTCCTCTTACCAGCAAGCCTTGCCCAGGCTGCTCCTTCCATCCCCGTGCACTTCCTGCCTCCCCTCCAGGTGCCTGGCCAACCCCCATTCCCTGGCCCATCCTCACTGGCGTTCAGGCCTCAGCACAGGTGCCATTCCTGGGGGAAGCCTCCCCTAGCTACCGCCCCCAGCCCTCTGGGCAGCAGGGTCCCCTGAAGCTCCTCCGCCCCCCGAAGTGGGTTTCCTGCTGCATATTAACTGCATGGCTGCCTGTAGGGCTTTTCTACCAAGTCCTTCCTTCGCTTTGTTGGATGCGCAGGCCCAAGCGCCTAGCGCAGAATGTGGCCCAGTAAGTGCTGGGATGAATGGACGTGAGCGCGTGGCAGACAGGGTCAGGGGTGCCATTGTTCCTGTCGGCTGGCACCGCGGGGAGGGCGGGGGACGGGGAGCACTGGGGGGCCTCTCCTTCCCCATCAGCCTCCCAGACCCCTTCCCTGCCCACCAGGGCGCCACCGGGCCGTCCCACACCCTCTCTGCCGCCTGCCCAGTGACCTAATTATTGTTTTTTCTTCCAGCCCCGCGGAGGGGAAAAGAGAAATTCCTGGTGGATGACACAGGCCCGGCGGCCGCCTGAGAGCCGAGCACGGGACCGGCTGGGCCGGCTTTGCCCGCCGCCCGCCCCGCCATTAGGGCCGCGAACCCGTCATCAGCTAAGTACAGAGCGGGCGCGGGCCGGGCGGGGGCGATGGCCGGTTCCCGCGGACCCGGGCCTGCGCGCCCTGGGTCTGGGGGTCGCGAGTGGCCCTGGCCGGCTCGCAGGTCATTACCACCCGGCCCCCCGCGGGGCAGCCTTGGCTGCGGCGCTGCGCTCGGGGAGGGGAGGGGAGGGGAGGGGAGGGGGGGGAGGGGAGGGGAGGGTGGGGAGGGGAGAGTGGGGAGGGGAAGGGAGGGTGGGGGTGGAACCGCGGGCGGGGCGGCGCCAGGCGCAGGGTGGGGCGGGAGGCGTTTGGAGCCGGCCAGGCCCGGGTGCGGCCCCAAGACAGAGCGTGAGCTGCGAGGGCTCTGGGGACCTTTGGCACCCGCCCCCCTTTCTGGGCCCTGGGCTCGGAGCCAGACCGCCGGGGGGTTGAGTTGCCTCAGCCCCAAAGGAGGGATTAAGCTCCACTCACCATCCATAGGCTTTTGAGGCTGGAGGGAGCCTCAGTTCTCCCATCCGTGAAATGGGTTAACGCAGCTCTGGATGCGATGAGATGTGCCTGGCCTCCATGCTCAGCGCATAATGGGTGCTCCGTTTCCTCTCACTTGCTGGGGAACAGGCTCAGTCACCCATGCCTTCTGTCTGCATATACGGGCCGCACACCTACGCGCCAGGCACTGTGGGAGGCCTTGGGTTATGGCGATGAGTGAGACAGATAAAACCTGCCACTCTCAGGGGAGACCAGCCGTACACAAATAAATACACACCCCAGACAAGGCAGTGCCTCCGATGGTGCGAGGTGTCAGGGAGAAAAATGCAGGGTGAGGGGAGGCCTGTGGGAGTGGGGGGTGCTATTGCAGACCCAGTGGTCCAGGAAGGAAGGTCTTCAGGAAAAGTGCCCTTTGAGCCGAGGCCCGAGTGAAGTGCAGTGAGCAAGGCAGTAGTTGTCTAGGGGAGGCTTTTTGGAAGAAGCAAATGGCAGGTGCAAGGCCCTGGCCCCCCCTCCTGCCTGCCCCCTGCTGGCAGACTTCATCTCTCAGGGTCCCGGGCTCCCCTCTCTCCACCAACCTGCAGGAGGGACGCGTGAAGAGTAGACCTGGAGCCAGGCCGGGTTTTAAATCCTGGCCCTGCCACTCGTTATCGGGGTGACTACCTCTCGGAGTGGTGCTTCTCCCCTCTGTCAAACGAGGAGCACCACGGTGTGTTCCTCAGAGGTTCGCGTGAGGCTTCCACGAGGCGATAGGGGCGTCCGGCAAGCCCCGCGTGGTGTGCATATGCGCTCAGATGAAGGGCCTGCGGGGTCCCGAGGAAGACCCTGGTTTTCTTCAGCTGAAAATTGGGTCTCTCTCTGACTTGGAATGAAAGGTGGATGTACCCTTTCCCCGCCTTGGTGGTGACGGGGAGACAAGTAGCAGAAGTCGGAGCAGCTTGACAGACTCTGGGAGATGCTTCCCAGTTGTGGTCTGGTGTTGGCCCCCGCTGGGACTCAGAGCCCTGTTTATGTAGAGAGAAGCAGTAGCACGCAATCCCCCCCCCCCCACGCCCCCCATCTGCCCGCAGTGTCCAAGTCTCAGCCAGGCATTCAGTGGGCTCAGAGAAGAAAGCTCAGCTGGTCCAGGTCAGGGCAAAGCCGTGACATCATATTTCATGTCCTGACCCCCTTCCCATCCCTGCTGTCTCTCCCTGCCGCCCTGGCCAAACCTGCCCTTCCTTGGGAATGGACGGAGGTCACGTCAATCAGACCTGAGGGAGGAGTTCAGTCCCTGGAGCTAGTTCTCCCTCATTTGACACATGGGGAACCGGAAGCCCAGAGCGGGCAGAACTTTTCCAGCGAACACACAGCCGTCCTGGGGTTTGATCATTTGTGCCGGCAGACCTTTGCTCTAAGGCTGTGTCTTCACTGTACTTCGGGCCAAATCCCACCTCTTTTACAGAAGGAAGGGACCGAGGCCAGAGGAGTAATATGAATTCGCCAAGGATTCCCAGACCAGCAAGTGGCAGTGGAGAGGAGCGTGCATTCTATTCAGGGGCAGAGGAGAGGTGGGACTCTCCCTGGGCCCCTCCAGGGTAAGGTCATTTGGGGAAATCTGTGGCTATTGGCTTCCCCTTCTTACCCCAGGAATCCTGTTTCTCCCATCCTGAAGGGCCAGCCCAGCAGGTACCCGGATGCACATCGGTGCCTTTGTCCGGCTGGCTCCATGGAGAGCCAGCTGTGATGGCTGAGCTGCAGCAGTGCCTGGAGGCCACCGTGGCCAGGCTGGGTACCACTTCACTCTCCCCAGGTCTCTAGACCAATGCCCTGGCAGGAGCTTTATCTCAGACCTTGAACATAGCAGCCAGATCTGGCACCAAAAGCCCCTCTTGGCCTGTAACTTTTGCCACCACTTGCAACAAGGAGCTGCTTTCATTCATTCATTCATTCATTCATTCATTCATTCATTCATTCAACAAGTATTTCTGGAGAGCCTATCAGGTGCCAGGCCCTGCTCCACACATTGAAGGTGGAGCAGCAAACAAGATGATGAGGCCTGGCCCTCTGGAGCTCACCTTCAAGACCAGGGGACAGGCAATAAACAAGTAGACACAAAGTATTAGGTCAGATGAAGGTGAAAGGTGAGGGGGCGGCGTGTGATGGGGGTGCTCAGAGGCCACTGCGGAGGGCGGGTGCAGAAGTTCTGAAGGAGGGAGCTAAAGGAAGAAAGGGCATGAGGCTCCTAGGAACATGGTTGGCGTTTCCAGCGGACGGCAGGGAAGACCATGTGGCTGGAGTGAGTGGGGGAGGGAGAGAGGACATGAGATGGAGAGCAGAGGGGCCGGACTGTGAGTGCCCTTGATGGCTCCAAGTAGGCCCGCTTGTTCTGTGTCTGCCCTGGGTGGAGCTGTGCCCTCCTGAGGCAGCCCGGGCATCCTGAGGAAGTGATTACCCCTATTGGATTCCCTCCACCCTTGCACCCTCCACCTGCTCTAAAAATCAGAATTAGAAAGTGCAGCAAGGAAGCTGACCTCCCCTGAAAAGAATTTGGAGTCAGAAATCTCTGGATTCCAGACCAGGCTCCACTACTTAGGAACTGCGTGAGTTTGGATGGACCGCTTAAACTCTCTCAACCTCCACCTCCTATTCAGTGATGGCGAACCTTTTGAGCTCGGCGTGTCAGCATTTTGAAAAACCCTAACTTAACTCTGGTGCCGTGTCACATATAGAAATTTTTTGATATTTGCAACCATAGTAAAGCAAAGACTTATATTTTTGATATTTATTTTATATATTTAAATGCCATTTAACAAAGAAAAATCAACCAAAAAAATGAGTTTGCATGTCACCTCTGACACGCGTGTCATAGGTTCACCATCACTGGGCTATCTGCAAAACAGAGCTAAGCACACCTACTGCCCACGTAGCATTAGAAGCTGAGCTGCCCACCCTCTGACCCCGCAGGCGCACTCCTAGGGACATAAGCGAGGGAAGCCATGCACGTGTGCAAAGGCATGGGCCAGGCGTCCCTGGGGGTTGGTCAGCGTGGCCCTAACATGGACTCAACTGAGTCCTTCAGCGGAAGAACGGCTACATGAGGTCTGGTGATGCATGCGGTGGGGCATACATAACAATGCCATCTACAGAGACACTAGTATACATTATCCCATTAACACGAAGTTCAGGTAAAGCTAATCAATGGTGATAGTGGTCACCCCTGTGGGGTGCTGACTGGCCAGGGACTGGAGGGAACTTTCTGGCACGCGGTGTTTTATATCATGATCTGGTCAGTGTCGCACAGGTTTATGTGCGTGTAAAAGTTCGTTGGACTTGAATTCCATGAACAATTTGAGAGTCGTGTGCGTTGTGCTATGTATGTTATCCTATCTAATAATAGAAAAACATGGTAATTGACCATACCTTCACTACGCCTCCCATTGGCTAATCAGTGAGATATGCAAATTAACCACCAACAAAGATGGTGGTTAATTTGCATATGTAGGCGCGAAGTGGCGGAGCGAAGACTGAAGGCGGCTCCGGCCAGAGCAGCGAGGGCTTTGATGGCGGCTCCGGCCGGAGCGAAGGCCTGGGTCCTGGGTGCCTGAGGAAAACTGGTGCCAGCAGCCAGGAAAGGGAAGGCCTATTTCACGAATCTTTTCGTGCAACAGGCCTCTAGTATTTCAATAAAAGGTAAAAAGAGGGAAAGTATACCGCCTACATAGCTGGTGAAGGGTAAATGAGACAGATTGGAGTTGTGTCTGTCTCGGGAGAGGCCCTTGGGAACATTCCCTGCTTCCCTGGTGCCGCTCTGAGGGACCAGGAGGGCCCTCCAGCGCCCAGGCCCCTGCCTAGCCTGTCCCTCCAGGGACCAAACGTTAGCTTGGGTCAGACGATGCTGTGCTGTTGGAATTGAGGGATGAAATGGGACTGGGTCTTTTTTTGGGGGAGTATTTTTCCTGTTGCTTTGTGTTGAGAAAATTCTTGTTTTTGTCATTAAATACGGCAGCTTACTTGTGCTCAGACCCCAGGCCTGGTGTGTGGAGAAAACGCTGGAGTGGGAAGCGCTCAGCTTTCCCAGCCTGGGGCCCAATTGATGGCGCTGAGAGCAACCCCTCTCTGCGTGAGGATCCCAGATCCTCTCCGCCATGGCCTGGCAGAGCCCCACCCCTCGCCTCCCATGAGCCCACATGCGAACTGCTCCCAGGATCACTCGCTGGGGACAACCTACCGGTTCCACCTTCCCACCCTGTCCCGAAGTCACTGTCCCAAGCCCAGAGAGGGCTTCCCAGAAGCCACACAGGAAGTGTGCAGCAGCGTCAGGCCAGACCATGCAGAGGGCAGGGTGGGGGTGGCAGGCCTGGGCTCGGCCACGCTCTCCCCTCCTGCCCATGGGGCAAGGCCCCTCCTGAGCAACGGCGGGAGAGTGTGCCCTCCAGCTCTGAGGACGGAGGACATCTACGACAGTAATGGGGGCACTTTTATTATTAACTCGGCACGGAGGGCTGGGCTCCTCTCTCGTGTACTGTCCAGGGTGAGTCCCATGGTCCCAGCTCCTTCTATCCCAGGGTCACAATCTAGGATCCACCTGCCCTTGGTGCCACTCCTTGCCTTGCTTCCCATAGAAATATCACAGGCAACCCCTGTTTGCAACCTGCCTGATCTTGGTTTGAATCTGCCTGGCCGTGCTGGATGTGCCGTGGGCGTGGCCTGAGGGAGACTCCAGGGATGAATGGGGCCCACCCGGGACCAGTTCAGACTCTGTTTCTCCCTTTTTACCTCCTCCGGTGTCAGTTTCCATGTAACCTGCCCTGGCTAACCTTACCCCACCCCAACCCTCTCTCCTCGCTTGTTCTGCTTCCTCACCCCCACATCACTGACTTGTAGTTACCTGTTGATTGGTCTGCCTTTTCCCACAGGACTGTATGCTTCCTGAGGGTAGGAGCTGCGCCTCTTTGATTCACTCACCACTGGGCCCCTGGAGTCTGGCACAGGAATAGTAGATCTTTGAGAGAAGAATGAGTGAATGAGTAAGAGCTGCTCTGGCGGAGATATAGACAGCAGGGCGGGCAGGGGTGATTCCGGGGTGTGTGTGTGTGTGTGTATGTGTGTATGCATGTGTGTATGTGTGTGTGTGTGTGTGTGTGTGTGTGTGTGTACCATTGCCCTGAGCTTGTGGTTGCACAGGTTTCAGAGGGAGCTGGCTGGAGGGCAGGAGGACTCTTTTGAAGCCTGGGCACCTGGGAACGCAGGCTCCCCTGTTATGAGCGAGAGGCCTGCCTGTGAAAATGTGTGCAGTCCCCGCACTGGGAAAGGGTCCTGGGCCTACAGGACCGGAGACCTGGGTTCCCACAGCGCTCCACGTGGAGCCAGGAGAGCATTCCTCCTCGCAGGGAGGGGAGGAGCCAGGCCTCTCCCTCCAGGCACACAGGCCCTGGGCCGGGGCTCTCCCTGTGGCTTCTCTCCCCCGGAGGCCCTAGAGAGCCTCTAGCCCAGGCCTCAGGAGGGCCAGAGGCCTGCCCTGGGCCCCACAGCAAGGAGAAGCAGAGCTGGAACCACTCCAGGCTGGGACTCGGTCTAGGCCTGGGGCCTCCAGCACCCCCACACCCCCTGCCTCCTCCAGTCTGCCATGTGTAAGGGCCTTATTCAGGCTGGTCAGCACAGGGAAGGCAGCCCCAAATCTGGACCTCACACTCTCCCTGCAGTTAACCTGGGAGCCCAGCGTCCCCCTGCGTCTTGGGGAGCAGGACCGCGGTGGTCAGCAGAGGCGGAGTCTCTCTTGGCGGAGCCCGCAGCCCACACCTGCTCACCTGAACCGCGCTCAGGACGCTGCGAGGCCTGACTTCAGAAATGACGCCCATTCTCTGGGCCTTGGCAAAGGTGACTTCCGACACCCCCCGTCCCGCCCCCCCCCCCCCCCCCCCACCGCCCCATCCAGCAGACAGGACCTTCCCTAGGTCAGGGCCTGCGCCTCCCCTCTCACACTGGAGACTCTGCTCATGGACCTCAGGTCTCAGCTCTGCGGCCCTTTGGGCCCCCAGTTGGCTCTGTGCTCCCTGTACACCTCCGACTCCCGCCAGGCTCTCTAGTGTGTGTGTGTGGGGGGGGGTCTGGGCTAGGTCAGGGCAGCTAGATCCCTAGCGCCCTCTTCCTGGAAGTTCCCAGGGTCGTGGGCTGTGTCTTATTTGTCCCTGTGTCCTCTGTGCCCACCCTAAAGCCTGGCATCATGTGGGCTCTTGTGACACGGAAGGGGTGGCTCAGGGTGCCATTTGCGGGGCTCTAGGAAGAGATTCTAGCCACCCGGCCCTGCCCCCCAGCTCCCCAGGAGCCACAGTTCTGGCATTCCACTGGGAGAGGCACATTCCTTGACGGTCTCTTCCTGGAAATAAATCAGAGTATGAGTGTGTTCTTCTCTTGGGCCCAGAGGCCCGAGGAGAGGGGGCTGCCAGCCTGGTCCCCGCCTCTGGAAGAGAAGGGCTGAGATCCCGGGGAGGCGCTGACCTCTGGGGACAGGCGTGGGCTGCCGGGCCCTTGGGGCTGGTGAGAACAGCGGGGCTTGTCTGGGAGGGAGCGTCCGACAGACGCTTTATCAGGCCCT